AATCAATGATTAATATTTTGACCTTGAAATTTTACTCTCAAGCTTTGAGTACTCTATATATATTGAAAATCTACTTAAAAACATAATTAATTTCGAAATATTATAAATAAGTTTAATTACGTGTGAGAGTTATTTTTTTAAATGAGTATCATATATAACGCGTTTTTGATAATAATTTTTTTTATAATTTTAATTATTTTTAATTAAAAAAATTAAAATTTAAATAAAATTATTTTTAATAAAATTCACATATATATTTAATTATGCGTCTTAACTCCAAACCTATTACCAAAACTTTCCCTAAATCAAAATTTTATATTAATTACTTGCAGCATTGCCTTTGAATTTTGAAAAGAAGTCCTACGTCCGGCATTTTCAAAATTGGTGGGCAACTTCATTGGCAGTGTGTAAGTATTTACTTTTCGTGGCTTGTGCTGATGTGAAAATTGAAATGATTTGTGGAGCTATACATGCATACGAACCTGCATAACATCAGCTAACGGTGCAGAGAGGCTGTTTGACAATTGGGCCGACAAACCTAATTAAGGGAGCTTAATCATTATAATATGATTTGACGTTAATTTTGTCAATATTTTTTATCAATATATATTGCATGTGATAAGAGTAGGAAAGAGATAATAGAAAGATGGCTTTCCGAAAGGGCAAAATGAAAGAAAATTTTGAAAGACATAACGAGATAGATAATATGATTTTATAATTATGTTTGACATATAAATATTTTAAAAAGATGAGATAAATAATTAAATTTTATTATAAATAAGTTTTAATTATTAAGAAAAGACATTTACCTAATGAATTATTAAGTCATATTATAATTAATAATATTTTTTTAATATTTTTTTAAAATTAGACTTGACGACCAAGAGACAAAAAAAAAACATAAATTTGGTGCTTTTAAATTCATGAGAACAAAGTAGGTAACAACAAAATCGTGTCTAGCGTTTGTCAACTGCAAAAATGACGTGATAAATTAAAATATTATTTTTAAACTAATCAATGATTAATATTTTGACCTTGGAAATTTACTCTCAAGCTTTGAGTACTTTGTATATATTGAATACCTGCTTGAAAACATAGTTAATTTCGAAATATCATAAATATTACGTGTAAGAGTTGTTTTTTAAAATGGGTATCATGTATAAAGCATTTTTGACAATAAATTTTTTAATAATTTTAAATGTTTTTAGCCAAAAGAATTAAAATTCAGATAAAATTACTCTTAATGAAATTGATCCATTTATTTGATTCTGCGTCTCAACTCAAAACTTATTAACAAGTCAAATATGTTTAGATTTGCAGCTCAAACCAATTCATATTCTTCGAGCTTTCCTCATCAGATTATTTATCTCTAGAATATTTCTTATTAGAAAGAAAAACATTTAAGCATTTTAAACATTTTGAAGTAGTTTTTTATATATGAAGAAAACTTTTGAGCGTTTTGAGTATTTTTAAGCATTTTAGAATGATTTTTGATATACGAAGAAAAATTTTTGAACATTTTGAGCATTATTTGTCAAGTAAGCATATTCGTTAATTATGTTGTAAAATGAAATATGGTCTATCATTTGAAGTTGTTGATCTTGTTAAATGGAATTCAGTAATTTTGATAGTTTTAGGATATTGAGTGATTAGTTTTTAAGTATTGCTTGACTTACTTTGTATATTGCATGGCTAACTTTAGGTATTGCATGATTTATTTTTAGGTATTACTTGACTAGTTGGTAAGTGTTGCGTGACTAGTTAGTAAGCATTGCATGATTTGTTAGTAAGTCATTACGTGACTAGTTAGTAAGGTAATGTGTGATTAGTTAGTAAGGCATTGTGTGACTTAGACATTGTTTAAAAATCAATCACGCAATACTTATAACCAATCGCGTAATACTTAAAAACTAGTTACGCAATAATTAAGTCACGCAATACTTAAAAATCAGTCTCACAATACTTAAAATCCAATCTAATCAATTTCAACTCCTCAACTTTGAGGTTTTATGGTTCTGTGAATAAACCAATAAACTCAAAAACTTAAAACACATACTTTTTTTTTCTAAGCCATGAAATTGTGTATTTATAAAACATAGATTACAAAACTCCATAATCCTTCAAAGTAAGATAAAATATATCTCTATCGGGAGGGCTTTGTTCACTTCCCTTATGCAAAAATAAAATATATTCCATTTACAAAATATTCTCTGTACAATTTTAATTTAAAATACCCAACAAACATACTTAACAATCATCCCAATCCTAGACACAACAAAATCTTGACTCACCATAAAACCCATCAAACATGCTTTAGCTGTCCCTTCTCCCTGAACCCATCATCTTAACCAATCCGATCCAACTCATCAATATAGACATTTTTATCGTAACGCACGTTTCGAAGTAAGTCATTACCAAAAAGCATCCAGTTATCACATTCATCATGCTGCCTACAATTACCATAAAAGAGCAAAATCGCTATTTATAACCCTTGAAAACCTCAAAATCTACTATCTAAAAAAAATAAAATAAAATAAAAAAGAGCTTGATGTCATCTCTACTTTTTGAATAGCGAGATAGACAGTATTTGACGAGAAAGAAATTGAGATTTAATTTTAAAATTTTTATCTGAATGACAAGATAGAGAAAATTAAAACCATTTTAATTGTTTGAAATTGTTTAAAGGGTATTGTTGTTAAGTCATGCCAAAAATTGATTAAAAATAGTTAAAATTATAAAAAAAGATATTTTTGAACTGGACTTATGAAAAAGGTTATTTATCATAATTTCTTCCTTGCATAGCATTCGCTAAAGGTGTAGAGAGGCTGTTTGACAATTGGGCCAACAAACCTAATCAAGGGAGCCTAGTCATTTATAATGTGATTTCATGCTAATTCTGTCATTATCTTTTATCAATGTATGTTGCATGTGATAAGGGTAGTACACAAAATGAAGAAAATTTTCAAAGATATAGCTGGTATGTGATTTTTTGTTCAGAGAATATTTATTTTAATGTGATAAGTGTGGTAGCCAAAATGAAGAAAATTT